ACCTGGCATCCAGTGTCCACTTGAATCTGCACAGCATGGGAACTAAGTCCCTACCACCCCAGGATTTCAGGGAGCCGCAGAGCACTGGATGGAATGAGATTATGTTCTGAGAACTTCTCACAGGCAAAGAAAGGAGATTTTCAGGCAGGCTACCAAAGAGAATGATCATATAGCTGCAGTCCTGTCCAGGTCACCCAGGTAATGGGAACTTGCAAATCCAAATCAGAAATCTCAGTAGCCCTTCCCTACTTGTCTGAAGTAGGACAGACAGAGTAAAGACTTGTGCTTAAGTCTAGAAAATTGAATGAAATAGCAAAGTAACAAAGATGCTTACGACTGGAAGAGCACAGAGACAAAATGCAACTAAGTCAAGCAATGAGAAACTTTTATTTAAGGCAAAAAGTACACACTCGAAGAAAGAGGAATGCGGGCAACCTCAGCGAGCAGGCACACTTAAGGGCTTAGGATTCTGTCTTTTAAGGCTTTCAAGAATGGGGCAAAGGGTATGGGGTGGGGCTGTTGGGCATAGGCTTGAGCTGTGGTCTCATGATGTCCCTCTCTGGTGAGAGACATTATGTCACTATCCACAGTCAGTCGTCTAGATAATTCTGTAAGAGAAACTTAACACAAGGAATTTATTCACTTTGTTCTTCTCCAAGATAGTGGTTACCCTCAAGCACTGAGAACATATCAGTTAGGACTGCTTGCCCTGCCCTAAGACAGGGCCAGTTGTTGGCTGATTACCAAAGACTATGTTAGGAATCTCACCTCCTAGCCCCCTGGTGTTTAAAATGGAATCATAGCCTTAAGATGGAATCCCTCATGTTCTTACTCAATTGTTTATATCTCAGCATTTTTCATCATGGGCAGGAAAAAATTAAGCATGATGCTTGTGCCATGTCCCTGCCCTACTTCAAAGGATAAAAGAAAATTCTTCCTCCCCAAGAAGAGCAAGGATTCACCAGTGACTCCACACTTTTAGGGAAGGGAGGGGGCTGAGAGAATAGGAGAAGGGACTGGCAGGGAAAAGGTTGAGTGGTGCCATATGTAAAGCCTGATCTTCATAAAATGCAAATGTCCTACATTCAGTCAGTGAACATATCTTAAACACCTTTAATATGTTAGGCACTAAGAATATAAATAGGAACAGACATGGTTTCTGCCCCCAGGGATTTTGTGGTATCAGTGGGGGAAGTAAAGGCATCAGCAAATGTATGCAGTGAGGTATAATAGATGCTTTTATCCACAGTATCCGTCCCCGTAAACTGCAAAATAAGGAAGTGATTGATTTCACTAGACTTTAAGAAAGAAGTTACCCAGTGTGAGTAAAATTGCAGTATTTCCAGAATCTCTCACCTGGCCTTAGTACATCTCCATATCAACAGGTGTTGCCAAGGGGTGGAGAGAAGTAGTCCATCTCCATATCAATAGGTGATTACAAGGGTGGAGGAAGCAATGGTGTATCTGGACTGTTTGGTGGGGTCCCTTTTTTGCAGCCTGGTGGTGAGAGACACAGGTGAGCAGAAGTGGATGACTGTTTGTAAGCAATAAATGGGTTTCTCCCATTTTATTTCTCCCTTTGACTGAGTTTGGTTTCAAAGGTAATTTGTCCTGGGCTAGGAGAAAGATTTTTCCCCCTGCGTTACACACAGGAACTGCGTAGATGTTCCCTTGGAAGACTTCTGTGGAGAGAAACTTATAAGCCACTCTGATACTTAGGACTATCAGATCCAGAGCTGATGGCATGGACAGCAGTGTGGATCATAATATGGAAAGAGGGTCATAATATGTCAAGAAGAGTGTTGTGTTGGGGGTGCTAGAATCCTAAAAGGGAAAGAGGTGGGTGTTTAAAACATGGGTTTAGAATCAGACATATAAGAGACTCTGGTTGAGAAGGATCAAGGGCAATTCTTTCTTTAAGGTAGGAGGTGAGATACAGCAGGGAAATGATACAAGGGCAATACCATTGTAAAGCTATGTAGCCTGTGAAAATACAAGCCCAGCTTCCCCTTTAACTTAATCTATATGCTTTTCTTCCTCTTCTTCCAGCCCCTTGTTTAATGCAGAAATTTGCAAATAGGAGGAGAGACAGATCTCTGGAGTGCAAACCAAACCCACCTGGGTAAAGATTGCCAAGATGCAGATCAACACAGTCATGTGAATAACTGCATTCTTAAGACAAAACTTCAAAGGAATTACTAATCACCTGTATATATCATACACTACATCAACCCCTACCCAAAAGGCCCTATAAAACTCCAAACCCTAAATCCTTAAGCATGCCTCCTCTCTGGGGTCACCCACACTCCCATCTGAGTGTGTACTGTCTTATCAAATAAACTTTCTTGCTACATAAGCACTTGTCTCTTGAATTCTTTTTCATGATAAAGACAAGAACACGGCAACCTCTGCCTCTGGTGGTAAATGTCTGTCACTTTGCTATTTCATTCAACTTTCTATCTTAAACACAAAACTTTTTCTCTCTTCCTGCTTCATTTCAGATGGGTAGGGAAGGAGAAGTTTTCAGAATATAATCTCACTCCAGCCAGTGCTACACACCTACCCCAAATTCTGGGATGATAGGGATGTAAGTCGGGTGCCATACAGACCAAACAGGCACTAGACACCAGGTGACCCTGGCTTTAGGAGCTGGCAAGGGATTTGCCCTGTGCCAAGGAGGAATTCAGTGAACTTTTCTTTTCTCCCTCCATTCTTCTTTGCTCTCTACTGCCTGATGGCTGCTGACATTTGCTACTACTCTTGCTTTAATGAATTCCTTTCTTGCTGGCACTTATTCGACCTGATTGTGAATTTCTCCTGATGGGCCAAGAGCCCTCCCCTGACCAGGCTGAGGTTTCTTCTAGTGTACAGGGAAAGTCCTCCTCAGAGTGATTGCCCAGATAGAAAAAAGAAAAGATAAAGACATTTTGAATTAGAGAGTGGGGAACTAACAGGCCTAGAAGGTCCACCCTTGACATTTGCAGGGATGTCAGAGACCAGGAAGGGCATTAGTCAGAACAAAAGAGTAAGAGGATGATAGGGGTCCAGCCAAGCTAGACTGATGAAGAAAAAGAGGGCACAATTACTAATAATATCAGGAATGAGAGACAGCCTATTACTAAATTTCCTACAGACATTAGAAGGGTAATAATATTATGAACAACTTAGACAAACTGGACACATTCACTGAAAAATGCAAATTATTAAAACTGACACAAGACAAAATAGAAAAATCTAAGTAGCCCTGTGTTTATTAAATAAAGTGAATTTATTATCAAAACCTTCCAACAAATAAACCTCCAGAACTGATGTTTTCACTATGAATTTGATCAAACTGATTGTCTCTTGAATTCTTTTTCATGATAAAGACCAGAACTCGGCAACCTCTGCCTCTGGTGGTAAATGTCTGTCACTTCGCTATTTCATTCAACTTTCTATCTTAAACACAAAACTCACTCCAGCCAAACACAAAACTCACTTAAGAAATATCAATCCTACACAAACCAAGAAAATAGAGGAATATGAACAGCCCCAACTTGTTTATGATGCCAAATTAACCTTGATAATAAAACCTGACAAAGACATTAAAAAAAAAGAAAAATATGACAAACCAATATACCTCATGAACAGAAAAGCCTTGATGAATTATTTGCAAAGAAAGAAAAAGAATAGTACATCATGACCAAGTGGGTTCATCCTGAGAACATAAGATTGTATGAATATCCAAACTCATTAATATGACACAGTATATTAACAGAATAAAGAAGGAAAACATGTGATTGTATTTATAAAATCCAACACCTGTTCACCACTGTTTTAAAAATCTGAGCAAATTAGGAAGAGAAGGAATTCTTCAACCTGATTGAAAATATCTATGAAAAATCTACAGCTAACATCATACTTGGCATGATTTAACACACATTCCCCCAAGATCAGAGACAGAGCAAGGATGTCCTCTCCCACTCCATCTATTTAACATTTTATTGAAGGGTCTAAGTAGGGCAGCAAAGCAAGATAAAGGAATAAAAGAGATCAGGAAGGAAGAACTAAAACTTTATAACAGATGACACAATTAATTTACATAGAAAAATCTACAAAATAGCAACTAGAACTAATAAACTAATTTAGCAAAGTCACAATAAAAGAGCACTGCTCACAGACCAGTTGTATTCCCATACAGTAGCAGTGATCCATTGGAAAATGAAATTTTTGTAAATTCCATTTACAATATGGACCAAAAAAAAAACCCTTAAAAATACTTACAAAAAATTTTAACAAAAGACATGCAAGACCTATCCACTGAAAACTACCAAAAAAATACTGAGATCAGTTAAAGAAGACTTAAACAAATGTTCCTGTATGGGAAGACTCAACATGGTTCAAATGTCAGTTCTCTTCAATTTGATCTGTAGATGCAATGCAATCCCAATCCCAATTTCCAGCAGGCCTTATTTGGGAAATTAATGGTCTCATTCTAAATTTATTTGGAAATGCAAAAGTTCTGGAATATCCAAGGCAATCTTCACAAAGAAAAACAGAGTTGGAGGACTTACACCAACTAATTTCAAGGCTTGCTATAAACCTGGTATACTGTCATCAAGCAATATAGTATTATATGGAGAGACATATAATTCAATGGAAAAGAACAGAGAGCCCAGAAAATAGACCCACATGTTGATAGTGATTTGACTTTCAATGAGGAACCAAAGCAATCCTATAAATAAAGCAGTGCTTTAATGGGTACAGCTGGAACAACTGGCTGTTGTTATGGAAAAACATGAACACTGATCCCTATTTCACACAATACATAAAATTTGAGATGAATCAGATCTAAACATAAAAGCTAAAATTATCAAGCTTCTAGAATAAAACATAGGAAAATATCTTCATGACCTGCAGGTAGGCAAAGATTTCTTAGATAGGAGGCAAAAAATAATTATTATCAAAGAAAAAATAATAATTTATATTTAATAAAAATTAAAAATTTCTGCTCAAGAAAAATACAGTAAAGAAAATGACTGTGTGCAATGGTGGCCAACAGCAGCCTCCTCAGTAGTGTATGAAGCTTGTTGCTTTGTGGATTGCCTTAAGGGGCCTCGGAGACCACTCTTTCCAGTGGACATGTCTGACCTGATTGCCCCCAATTCTAGGCTCCAGCTAAGTATTTGGGATGCCTTTGGAAAGCCCCAGGACACAGTAGCCAGGGTCCACATTGGCCAAGTCATCATGTCCATCTGCATCAAGCTGCAGAACAAGAAGCATGCAACTGAAGCCTTACACAGGGTCAAGTTCAAGTTCTCTGGAGACCAAGAGATCCACATTTCCAAGAACTGGCTCTTTACCAAGTTTAATGTGAATGAATTTGAAGACATGTGGCTGAAAAGCAGCTCATCCCAGATGACTGTGAGGTCAAATACATCCCTAACCATGACCCCTGGACCAGCACTGCCCCCACCTTACTCATACCCACTGACAAACCCTACTTCCTGTCAAAGAGATAAAATGAGTGGCAAGTCCCAGAGTAGCAGGAAATATTTGCAAAACATGTCTGTTAAAGGACTTATATCAAGTTTATACAAAGAACTACAACACAATCATAAAAACAGAAATAACCTAATAAAGAGAAGGGCAAAAGATTTGAACAAATGTTTCACAATAAGGTAGGTATACTGAATGTATGCCTACCCTATGACCCAGCAATTCTACTTCTAGGTATTTATCCAAAAGAACAGAAAATATATGTCCACAAAAACTCTTGTACAAGAATATTCATAGCAGCTTTATTCACAGTAGCCTCTAACTGGAAAGAACCCCAAATAAACTGTCCATGAATGGAAGGATGGATACGCAAATTGTGACCACTATTTGGTGATACAAAAGGAACAAAGTAGTCACACATACAACAAAATTAATGAATCTGAAACACATGATGGCACCTACTATTTGATTCCATTTATGTGAAATTCTAGAATGGCTTTTTTAAAAATGAAAACTTATTGCTTATGTAAGATGAGGGCAGTGACTGACTAGAAAGAGGAATGAACAGACTTCCTGGGTGATAGAAATGTTCCATATCTTGATAAGGATTTGGGTTACTCATGTGTAAGCATTTGTCAAATCTTGTCAAAGAATATACTTATTGTGCATTCCACCATTTCACTGATAAAAATTTAACACTCCCCCAGTACCACCACCACCACATACACAAAGAATCACGAGGAAGTACTGAATTCTACTTCATATGCATGCTGAAGTGTCTGGAGTGAAGCATACTGATACCAATAAATTACTTTAAAATACACCAAAAATAAGATGTATTGGAGGATAGATACATGGATAGGTATTTGATGGGGATATAGCAATATGTTGAGAGTTATAGAATCTAAATGCTGAGTACTCAATTATAGGGTACACTGAGTACATTCAGCAGAGAGTGGGGGAAGAATGATCCACAGTATCCAAATAGGAACGTTCTAACTTCAATCATTCTAGAAGCCAAGATTCACTTACATTAGTTTCATGTTTAGCCAGGGAAAATCAACATTAATTCACTGTAGTGACTGAGACTTTACACACCCTTAAAGTGAAGAAATTCTAACTTGAATTTCCCCCAACAACTGTAAGCTGGGCAATATTACCCCCAGATGTTGGCAGGAGGTCAGAGTTCAATAGCTCATTGGGCAGGTGGGAACATATCTGGGCCCACAGGAACTGAGGGGGTTATACCTAGAGATCCAGAGAATATGGAGTGTGCTGAGACCCCACGAAGAAGAACAGGAAGGAGAAGAAAGGGGAAGAGCCAAAGTGTAGCCTCTGCTTCCTTTCTTTAGAGAACCCCATCAGACAAATAGCATGTCTGCCCAATATGTCATTCCCCCTGCCTCCCTCTCATGAATGCACAGATGCACAAGGGTAAGTTCCCTAGCACCTGATGACAAATTTTCAAGGGGTTGCATGATTAGACACTTAACTCCTGGCTGAGAAATGGAACAAACTTGGTTATTGTATGGGACACAATCTATTTATCTTCCATCCTCCAAGCCAGGTTCCCTAGAACCTTCCCCTATCTCTGAGCCCTATAAGTTTAACTAACTTCCAGATTTTCTTTGGGACTCAGTTTCTATCATGATAACACAGCTTGTTTTTATCATTCTGGGTGAGATCCATCAAGCTAGGCCAGGAAAACTTATTTGCCATTTTCTGTTTAAACTTTTTCAAAGTGTCACCTTGTGTTGCTTCCAGCAATAGCAGATTATATAACCTAAAAGATCTTTTCACTAAAAAGCAACTAGCTCCTGCTAAAACACACGTACATGCATTTCTGAGGTCAACATAAGAGAAATATGTAGTAGTAGTCCCATCCATCCCCTACAAATTCACTGAAACTAAGGCTGAGAGTAATAAGCACCAAGGAAACTCAAAAGGCAGGTGTTGGAACAAGACAAAGATACCCACTTTCACCACTGCCATTCAGTATTGTACTACTAGAACAATTAGACAATAAAAATAAATAAAAGGCATTCAAGTTGGAAAGCATGAAGTAAAATTATCTCAGTTCATAGATTACATTATCCTGTATATAAAAAATCCCAAACAATCAACAAGAAAGCTACTGGAGGTAATAATTCAGCAAAGTTGCAGGGTATAAGATAAAGTTGCAGGGCATATGATCAGTTCATTGTGTTTCTATACATCTGCAATGTAGAAAGAGAAATTAGGAAAGCAAAACCATTCACAGTAGCATATATAAGAATAAAATATTTAGGAATAAATCTAACCAAGAGGATGAAAGATTTATACAGTGAAAACTACAAAATATTGCTGAAAAAATTAAAGAAGACACAAATAAGTGGAAACATATCCCATGTTCATGGATAGGAAGATAATATTAAGATGCCCTTCTATGCTACCCAAAGTGATTTACAGAGTCAACACAACTCCTATCAAATTTCAAAAGCCTTTTTTTTCCTGAAATGGAAAAACCAAACATCAAATTAATGTAGAATTGCAAGGGACCCTGAACTGAATAGCCGAAATAATCTTAACAAATAATAACAAAGTTAAAAGACCCACATAACCCCAATATCAAAACTTACTACAAAACCACAGTAATCAAAAGAGCATGGTATTAGCATAAGGATAGACATACAGATCAATGGGATAGAATTCAAAGGTTTAACATGGGTGCCAAATCCATTCAATGAGAGAATGAACAGTCTCTTCAATAGCTGGTCTTGGGGAAAACTGAATTTCCACGTGTAAAAGAATGAAGTTGAGTTCCTACATGAGAGCAAATAGAAAAATTAATTCAAAGTAAATCAATGGCCTAAACATAAGAACTAAAACCATAAATCTCTTAAAAGAAAACAGAGGGAAATCTTCATGATCTTGAATTTGGCTATGGATTCATAGATATGACACCAAAAGCATAAGCAATAAAATAAAATATAGATATATTGGACTTCATCAAAATTAAAAACATTTTGCACATCAAAAACATCATGAACTGAAAAGACAACACACAGAATGGGAGAAATTATTTGCAAATCATTTGACCTCAGACATTGGAATTCTCCATAAAAGTATAAGCTCCATGGAAATAGACATTTTTGTTTACTGCTGGATACCAAACTCTCAAAAATAACTGGCATAAGATAGGTACAAAGTAAATATTTGGTGAATAATCAAATATACAAAATAAATTAAATATGTATGAAATGTTGAAAGAAATTTTAAAAACACAAAAAATGGGCAAGTAATAACAGACCATAAAAATTATCAGAAATATATTTATAAGAACAAAATACAACTTCTAGGAAAGGAAGTGGATACAGAAAATTTGACACAACTTAAGATATATTTCAGTAAATTGGAAGATCAATCTAAGAAAATTATTCAGAAAGAAAAGATGCTTGAAAATAATGAGAAATTAAGAGGTATGGAAGATAGACTCAAATGATCTAGCATCCATTTAATGAGAGACCCAGGTGGAGGAAATAGAATCAAAGGAAGGAAATATATGAATAAAAGTGACTCAAGTTTTTCCATAAATGATAGAAGAAATGCATCCAAATATAGGAAACACAATATACATTAAGAAGGATTTTATAAGTCCTCATTTACATACATTTTTGTGAAATTACTAGACACCAAAGCTAAAGAGATCTTTAAAAAGCCAGAAAAAAAGAAAGATCATGTATAAGAGAGCTAGTTAAACTGACAATGAATTTCTCATAAATGAAAACCGAAACCAGACGACAGTGAAATGTCTTCAAAATACTAAGAAAAATTATCAATCTAGAAATGTATACTCTGCAAAGCTGTCTTTCAAGAACAAAAGTGAAATAAAGATTTTGGCAGATAATCAAAATCTGAGAGAATTTACTGCCAACAGAATTTCACTACATGGACTCCTCAAAGATCTACTTCAGGAAAATGGGAAATAATTCCAGAATAAAAATCTCAGATGCATAGTGGAATGGTTAGCAGAGAGACTGGAGAAAATGTAGTTTAATAAAAACATCATGTGTGAGAATAACATCTATTATAATGTCCAATGTGGGGGTTAGAACAAAAGACAGACATAAAGGACTGGACAACAACAGCATGTAGAAATTCTTTCTTGGCTGTCTAAAGAGAATGAGGTCAACAGTATTGCTGTGTTCATAACTGAAGCTTCAGCAGTTGAGAAAAATATCAGTTTACGTGATTAACCCTGAGCCTGTTTCTCTGTGAGGCAGCCTGTAATGGGCACTTTATTCAGACCTGTCCATTGGACTGTGGCAAAGTTCACTTCAAAAACACTGTTTCCTAAATGGACCTCTTAACCCCACTCAAAATCCCTGACCTAAGACATCTTCCAGACATGTTTATAATAAATCTATATGTGTATACTGACCCTTATAACTGACCACTTTTGCACTGTGCTTTTATTGATATATGTATATTTTATTTCTGAATCTCCTTTTGAAGAAAAACAAAAAATTTACCTTTTAAAGCTCTTCAGAAGTAATTAAATCTTATCTACATTACAATTTATAATGTTATATACCTGCTACAATCATCCACATCAGACTTACCTGGGCACTTACTAAAAACACCACTAAAT